GGGGGGGGGGGGGGGGGGGGGGGGGGGGGTGTTTCCATGGTAACCTCATTGAGCAGCAGCTCAATGAGAGTTGTGCATTAAAGTTCTGTTCCAGTGTTTCCATAGAAACCCTCTTGTTATGTCCCTTTTTCCTCATCGTCTGCCATTCTAATCATAGATATGTATAGGTAGATGCCCTATTAGCATCTGTTTCTATGAGCCGCTATACGTAAACGGTATATGAAAGTTGCCTGTCTGCAACTCTAGTTATACGCATGTATGAATATCTATATCTGTAGGAGACTTCAGCAGATGATTTTGCTAAAATAACCAAATACAACAAGATGAAGCCATTAGCTAACGCAACATTTAACAGGCACTACAGTTTAAAAAACTGTAATATTGCGTTAAAGGGGTCATATGATGCCATTCCAAGTTTTCCTTTCTCTTTGGTGTGTTAAACGCACTAGATAGCTGGCCAATCAGAGCACACCTTGCTTTTCAGATCGATTAGCTTTGTAAAAATCAACGCGTTTCAGAAAGGCAGGGCATAGAGGAGAAACAATAATGTACAGTATGTGGAAAATTATGTTTTTTTTTACCTTAAACCGCATAAACACATTTCATTACACCAAATACACAAAATAATGTTATTTTTTAGCAACGTCATGTGACCCCTTTAATACACATTAAAAACAAAAAACAACACATTCTTACCTGCAAAAGTTTATCCTATTTCTTAATGAATTTAAATTTCGGGGGGTTTTACAGCCAGAGGCTGCACAATGGTATGCTTTCTTTTTTTTATTGTGAGTGACGACACATTAGCCCCTTTCACACAGTAATACCAGTAAATTGTCGTAAAATTATCGTAATGACTTTACCGGTATACAGTTTTGGGTAAGTTACTCTAAAAAGCAATTGATTACTAGTTACTAATTACATCTTCAACAGTGTAATTAGATTACTGTACAAATTAGACATGAAACGGTTCTTTTAATTCTTTCAAATAAATAAGAGATAACTACATAAATAATTCTGGTCACACTTTACAGTAAATTAGGGTCCAATTTTCACTATTATCTAACTATTAACTATGACTTTTGCCTCAATATAGTCCTAATTAGAGCTTATTAATACTTAGTAAAGTAGTTGTTAATTTTAAGAATTGGGTAGGATTAAGGATTTAGAATGTCTTGCAGAATAAGACATTAATATGTAACGAATCAGCTCATGGGAAATATGAATAATTAACCACAACTAGTTATAATTAATTATGAATATTTTAGATCCGCTGTAGATATTTAGCTGACCTCTCAGGGTCAACTGTCTTGTCAATTCTAAGAACGTTAATTTCCTGGTTAAGGGAAATAACTTTCTTACTGTACAATTCTACAAAGCTTGTAG